AGCGGTGGCGTAGTCAAGGCGGCGGGTAGAGGCGAAGTCAGCGACAGCAGCGACAAGAGAGTCAAGGCACGAGACCGGAACAGACGGGTCGGTAACGAGAGAGGCAAGGACCCGAGGAACGAGAGGACGAGCGGCACGAAGGTAGTCGGACAGCGGGGGGGGCGCAACAACAAGGGAGGACGGAGGAGGCGACGGGAGAAGGGGAGGACAAGACGCGTGGGAACGAAGCAACATAGGGTGGGAGCGCAAGACAGGCGAGGCAGGACGAGCACGGGAGGGGCGGTGAGACCAGACGTGCGACGGAGGAGTCGGGTCAGGAGACAGGGGAGGGGACACAGGAGGGGAACGAGGGGGGAGACGAGCCGGGGACGAGTCCGGCGGAGGGAAAACAGGGCCGTAGACAGGAAGAGGAGGAGACGGTCGGGGAGGAACCGACGCAGGGTCGGGGGACGGAAGGCCGAGCAGGCGAAGGGCGGACACCGGCGGGGACCGCTGCTGCGGCGGCACAACGGCGACACCTGGACCGCAAGCTGCTCCTCGGCGACCACCGGCACTCTCCACACCAGCACCCGCAGAGGGACCACCCCCAGGGCGACCGGGACGAGCACCCCCAGAGTCAGCGAACGGGGGCTGCGACGGCGGCGGCGGAGGCGACGGCGGCGGCGGAGGCGACGGCGGCGGCTGCAGCAGCGGTAGTGGCGGTGGAGGAGGGGACTGGGGAGGGGACACCTGGGGAGGGGCGGCCGGCGAGGACTGCACAGGAGGGCCACCAGAGTCAGAAGACTCCTCAACCGGGTCCACGGACGGAAGGGGGGTGACGTGGGACACACCAGAGGGGGCGGGACGGGGAGGAGGAGGAGGAGGGGCAGGGACTACCGGGGAAGGGGTGACCAGGAACAGGGGGGGAGTAACCGGGGGACCACGGTGGGGAAAGCGGCGGTAGTAGGAGACAGACTCGTCAAAGGTGACGTCACGAGAGTGAAAGAAGCGGTGAGACGGCGGGTGGTAAAAGTGCCAGTCGGACGCGTCAAGAGGAAAACCGAGGAAGACGCAGGGAAGGGTGCGGGCAGTGAGCTTGTCCGTGCCGGAGGCACGGACGTGAGCAAGGCAGCCCCAGACGTGGAACGCAGACGCGTCACCAGGGGACCCAGTCCAAAGACGGGTCGGCGAAACCTGCGGCTGCTGAGGGTGCGGCCACAGGTTAAGCTGGTGAGAAGCGTAGCGCACAGTGAACGGCCACAGAAAATGGGGTGCACCGGCATGGATCATGGAGGTGCGAGCGACCTCCATGACCAAACCGATGCGTCACTCAGCGACCCCATTCTGCTGTGGGGAGTCCGGTAGGGTGAACGTCTGAGTGATGCCCTCCGCACGACAAAAGCGACCAAGGACACCGGAGGCAAACTCGCCACCACGGTCTGAGTGAAGACGCAAGACAGGGAGACCGCGGTGGACACGCGCAGAGACAAGCCAGGGGATGAGAGCGCCAGGCACGTCGGCTTTGCGCTCCAGGGGAAAGACGGTGGTGTAACGAGTGAAGTCGTCGACAAGCACAAGGAAGTAGCGCTCTCGACGCGGCCCAGGGACGGGGGCGGGGCCCCAGACGTCCAGGTGCAGGGTCTGCAGCGGCGCGGCGGTAGGGGGAAACGAGGAGGAGTGAGGGGCACGGCAAAGCCGACCCTCGACACAAGGCGTGCAAGGTGGGGCTGGGGAGGAGGGAAACGCGGGGAGCGAACCTGGGAGACCAAGGACGACACCGTGCTGAGACATGTGACGCAGACGCGGGAGCGCAGGGTGACCTAGGCGGTGGTGCCACAGGAGGGTCGGGTGAGTGAGGGAGCGACAGGAGCAGGCAGCAGCAACCTGGGTAGACGCAGCCACCTGAGGGGGCGCTCCAGCCGGGGGGGTCACGGTGTCCAGAGTGAACAGGCCGGACACCGGGTCCCGGGGGAACGTGGACAGGGGGGCACCAGTGGCGGCCTCGGTACAGACAGCATACCGCTCGTGACCAGGGAACGTAGTGGTGACGCCAAGGTCCTGGAGGCAGCCGACACCAACTAGGTTCCTGGAGAACGAGGGGATATGCAGACCTGTAAGAGAACCCGAAGGAACCGCCGGACAGGGAAGGGTGGTGGAACTGCGGGCGACTACCGGACCGCCGGAGGGGTCAGCAAGAGAAACGGCAGCAGGAACAGGAAGCGGCGTCAGGGTGGTGGAGTCGCGGAAGAAACACCGAGAGGCGCCAGAGTCCAAGGTGAAGGAAAGCGAAGCCGAGGGGTCTGGCGACGGAACGACGGCGGAAGCACCAAGACTACACAAAGCAGGGGATCCTACGCCTGACGCAGCAGGGGAGGCTAAGCGCGGCACACATACACTAGGCAACAGTGAGTAATAAGCGGGAAGCACACTAGAGTCATCAGCATACATCACATGCAGAGCAGAAACAATGGCATCCATGTCCATATCAAAAATCTGAATCTGACGACTAAGCAAACTGTGCCAGTCCGGGAGGTCTGGCGACGGGCCGAAGCGCTGACGAAAGAGGTCGTCCAGGCGACGAAAACAGCGGGGAGTGGAGTGACCGAGCTTACCGCAAACGAAGCCGCGGCGAGGACCGGTCTGGATCTGGTACTGACAACGCCCGCCGCCAGAGCCACCACGCGGCACACCACCACGCGCCCGGCCACCGCCAGCGCCGGGCCACCCTGGCGGGAGGACACTCGTCTGCCGCGTCTGCGACGGCTGCTGCGGCTGCTGCACCTGCAGGGGCGGCGACTCAGCTGAACTGGGCAGGGTCCCCTCGTCCACTCCAGCACCAGGCGACCCGACCCCACCATTACCCCCGCCCGCACCCCCGCCGCCTCCTCCGCCGCGCCCAGCCTTGGGGTGGCGGCCCTTCCCCGAACGGATCTGCGCTGCAGCAGCAGTCTCAGCCACTGCGGCAGAGCCGTCGGAGAAGGTGCACTGAGCGGGGGCACAACCCTGAAAGATAGGGACCGGCAGGACACCGCTCGCCTGGGCAATGGAGCGGTGACGGGTCTCTATCACAGTCAGGGTGTCTACAAAGTCAGTGAGGGTGAGGTCTGCGGGGTGAACGCTAAGAAAGCGGTCGCGAGCGACAGCAAGGCAGTCAGGGAGGCGGGTGGCAAGCAGGTAGAGGGTAGAGGTAATGGGCGGCTGGTGGGCTCTAAGCTGGGCGTCAGTGCAGGCAGCGCGCCAGGTCTCATCTATCGAGCGCAGGTGGGCAGCGAGGTCAGAGACAGTGGGGAAAGATGCAAGGTCAGGAAAGAGCATCGGAAGGATCAGGCGACCCACCGAGGCAGCCGGAGGGGTGGAATAGCGCTTGATCACAGCATCTAAGTATGCCTGAGCAGTAGTGAGGGACCTAAAGCGAGGATGCTCGGATGGGGGAAGGGCGTTGCTAATGGCAAGCTGGGCAACAGCATCGCGAGAAAGCCAGACAGAACGCGCACGGGCAGTGGCAGCAGTAGCCTCACGCTCAGTGGGTGTGGGGTCAGCGGGCAGAATAGCAGGGGGGTCTGGGCAGGGGAGCGTACCGTCAAGGTGTGCGGAAAGCGGTTCACCATCCTGCCGCTGGCCAGTGAGTTGACGGCGGAGGTCGGCAAGCCACGCCTCGAACTCTAGGGGCTGACCTTCAGCGTCGAAGCGAAGCTCCGCCGCCATCAGGAACAGTCCAGTGCAGTGCAGGGCAGTGCAGTGCGGTGCAGTTTGGTGCAGTGTGGTGCAGTACGGTACAGTGCGGTGCAGTGCGGTGCAGTGCGGTACAGTGCGGTGCAGTGCGGTGTAGTGCGGTGCCAGGCAGTACAGAGTGGGGCGGGGCGGCACGGAGCAGGGCGGGGTGGGGGGGAACCGTACCAGTGAGGAGGACGGGGCCGGGGCTGGCCCGACGGGGCCGGGCGGGCGCGACGGGGTCGGGCTGGTGCGACAGGGCCGGGACGGGGCGACGGGGCCGAGCGGGCGCGACGGGGCCGGGCTGGGGCGACGGGGCCGGGCGAGTGCGGCAGGGCCGGGCCGGTGCGACGGGGCCGGGCGAGCGGGACGGCGGCCGGGCGGGTGCGACGGGGCCGGGCGGCTGCGACGGGGCCGGGCAGGGTGGGACGGGGCCGGGCGGGGGCGACGGGGCCGGACGGCTGCGACGGGGCCAGGCAAGGGCGACGGGGCCAGGCGGCTGCGACGGGGCCGGGCGGGCGCGACGGGGCCAGGCGGCTGCGACGGGGCCGGGTGGGCGCGACGGCGCCGGGCGGCTGCGACGGGGCCGGGTGGGCGCGACGGCGCCGGGCGGGCGCGACAGGGCCGGGCGGCTGCGACGGCGCCTGGCGGGCGCGACGGGGCCTGGCGGCTGCGACGGGGTCGGGCAGGGTGCGACGGGGCCCAGGAGGGGCGCGACAGAGCCCAGGAGGGGCGCTACGGGGCCTGGGCGGAGCGCGACGAGGCCCAGGAGGGGCGCTAGGGGGCCTGGGAGGAGCGCGACGGGGCCTGGGAGGGGCGCGACGGGGCCTGGGAGGGGCGTTACAGGGCCCAGGAGGGGCGCTACGAAGCCCAGGAGGGGCGCGACGAGGCCCAGGAGGGGCGCTACGGGGCCCAGGAGGGGCGCGACGGGGCGCTACGGGGCCTGGGAGGAGCGCGACGGGGCCCAGGAGGGGCGCTAGGGGCCTGGGAGGAGCGCGACGGGGCCTGGGAGGGGCGCGACGGGGCCTGGGAGGGGCGTTACAGGGCCCAGGAGGGGCGCTAGGGGGCCTGGGAGGAGCGCGACGGGGCCTGGGAGGGGCGCTAGGGGGCCTGGGAGGGGCGTTACGGGGCCCAGGAGGGGCGCTAGGGGCCTGGGAGGAGCGCTAGGGGGCATGAGCGGAAGCGGTAGGTGGGGGGGATCCTACCTACGCGTGATACCATATCAAAATTGGAATTGAATAGTTTGGTAAAGTGAGAGTACACACAAATATACCTAAGTGTTGTACCCTCTAAGAGGTAACCCTATACAGTCTATACAAACATGACAAATACAGATGTTTGACAGTGTCAACTTAGACATATAAGCTATGTAGAAGTTATAGGCTAGGCTGAGGTATGCTTCTAGTGAGTACAGCCAACTAGTATTTGTTCTAGGGTTTCACCTTCTAGTCATTCATTCAGTTCTTACTTTAACAGGATCAACCTCCAAAAATAGCTTTCTGAATGGCAGAATTTCCGGTCCACCAGTCAGCATTTGTCAATCCCTTCCATTCACCAGCACCAGTACTAGCACCAGCACCAGCACCGGCACCGGCACCAGCACCAGCATCGGCCCTGGCACCGGCACCAGCACCAGCAGCAGCAGCAGCAGCACCGGCACCGGCACCAGCACCGGCACCGGCACCGGAACCAGCACCGGAACCGGAACCGGAACCGGAACCGGAACCGGCACAGGCACCAGCACCAGCTGCAGCACCGGCTCTGGAACCGGCACCGGCACCAGCACCGGCACCGGCAGTGGCAGCACGGTGGTGTTGGCCCAGCGCCTTCTGCTTGTACACACCGTTCTTCCCATGCCTGCTGCTCCAAGCCACCCCAGCTGACAAGTCGGCGGAGGCGCTTGCAGTGCGGTCGCCAGACCCGTGTAACGAGCTGCCGCGGTCCGAGCTGCCGCGGTCCGAGTTGCCGTGGAGCGAGCTGACGTGGTGTGAGTTGCCATGGCGAGACTTTCTGTGGTGCGAATCGTGGTGGTCGTTGTGGTGGTCATCATCATCGTCGTCGTCGTTGTCGTCGTCGTCATCGTCGTTGTCATCGTTGTCGCCAGAGCCACCAGAACTGCCAGAACCGCCAGAGGGCGGATTGTCGTAGTTGGAGTCGTCTGAGTAGTCGGGCCCGCCGCCCCACAGAGAGGACGGCTTCCTGAAGCACGAGAAGTCCACGGCAAGGCCGCCCCTGGTTTGGGGGAAGGGGGGGAGGGGAGGGGGGGGGGGGCAGCAGCAGAATGGGGGAGAAGGACGGACGGATGACGTTAGGCTTGCAATAGGCACATGGGCAGAGCGTCCCGCCCCACAGGGAGGCTGGCACCTTGAAGCACGAGAAGTCCACAGTAAGGCCGCCCCTGATTGGGAAGAGGGTGGCAGATTGGTGAGAGGTGGGAAGGGGAGGGGAGGAGACGAGCCTGGCGCAGATTGGGGGAGAGGTGAAAGGGAGTAGGCTGGGGTAGGGACTGGAAGGTGAGGGCTTGGGTCGACTCAAAAACCAAGTAGGGGTGGGGAATGGAAGGTGTGGGCTTGGGAGTAACGGGATGGGCGGCAGAGCCACATGCGGAGCAACAAGTGGTTTAGGGGTCGGGTCAAAAGTGACCTTTGAGGCGATTAAAAAAGGTGATTTTTAGGCGATTAAAAAATCACCATTGGAAGGTGTGGGCTTGGGAGTTAAGGTATCAGCGGCTGAGCTAGATGCTGAGCAACAGGCACCGAGGCTTGCTGGCCTGACTAAGGTTACCAGGGTAACAGGGTAACCTTGGGCCGTCTCGGTTGGGGATATGGAGGGCAGGCACGGGTCTTGGTGCTAGGGCTGCTGACAGCAGGATGCTGAGCAGCGGACACTGAGGCAGAACACATACCTGGGCAGCCAGAGCAACAACAACAGCGTCCTGGTTGAATTGGAGCCACAGAAGGCTAAGGCCTTGGTGCCGCTGCTGGTGAAGGCAGGGCGCTGAATACCACACACGGAGGCATTATAAATACCAGCGTAGCAGGGGCCCCAAGAAGGGCTCACTGGTTGGAGGCATGGAAGGCTAAGGCCTTGGTGCCGCTGCTGCTGAAGGCCCAGTTGATGTAGTTGATGGCGTTGAGCTTGATGGGCACCACTCCCATCCCCACCTTCCTCGTGAACCTGAAAGCGGGGGAGAGGGGTTGAGAGAGGGTGAGAGTGGTTGACAGGGTTGAGAGGGGCAGAGGGGAGAGCAGCACAGAAAGGCCCAGTTGATGTAGTTTGTGGCGTTGAGCACTATGGGCACCGCTCCCTTTCCCACCTTCCTTGTGAACCTGAAAACGGGGGGGAGGGGTCAAGAGGGGTTGAGAGGGGTGGAGAGTGGTTGAGAGGGGTTGAGAGGGGTTGAGAGGGATTGAGAGGGGTTGGGAGGGTTCCGACCTTCCTGGAGAAGCTGAAAGGCGGTAACACGGGTTCAGCACGGGGCATGCGGGTCATTGGGGGATCACAGGTTAACTGGGGCACAAGGGTCAATGGGGGCACGTGGGTCAACGGGGAGAGGTTACACTGGGGAGAGAAGTTGCATGGGGGGAGAGATTATATGGGGGGGGGATTGGTTACATCGGGGGGAGGGATGATGTGGTGCAGAGGGGTCAACGGAGCAGAGGGGTAATACGGGGAAAGATGGTTAAAAGGGGCAAAGTGTAATACAGACCAGAGAGAAAAGCACGCACATAAAACTGCCGTGGCAAAAGTGTAACAACGGTGTAACAGTGGTGTAACCATGGTATAACAATGCTGTAACAATGGTGTAACAACCCAGGAGCAGAATGTTTCTTATTGGCCAACTTACGCGACCTTGGTGCCTCCTTCAGAAGTAGTGGCAACCACAACATTCTCGATAGTAAACGAACTCGTTTGTGTTACAAGCTTCTTAGAGTAACCACTCATGTGCACCGGAACCACGCCAGGCAGGTTCCCCACGACTGCATCTGTGCCCTTCATCTTGCCCTTGTTGCCCGACCATCCAACGGCCATCCAACCATTCTTAGTCAGAGTGGTGCTGCGGGCCTCGATTGCAAATCTGATGGCTGTGCGGCTGACAAAGGTCCAGTGCAGGAGGATGCTGAGAGGGGGGGAAGGAGGCGGGATGGACGGAACAGGGGAACGAAAGGAGGGTTGGTAAGAGTGGTGCTGAGAGCTCCTAAAGCGAACTTGATGGCTGTGCATGCGGTTGACAAAGGTCCAGTGCAGGAGGATGCTGAGGGAGAGAGGGGAAAAAGGGGGCATTGGGATGGGGGTTGGGGGTTGGGGGAGAGTGAAAGAGCGGTGGGGAACAAGGGACAAAAAAGTTGGCTGGGCTGTGCTGCGAGCTTCGATTGCGAATCTGATGGTGGTGCGGCTGGTGACGGTCCAGTGCAGTGAGGGAGTCTATTTTTGAGGCGCCTCAAAAATAGACTCCTCACGCATGGGGAACAAGGGACAAAAAAGTTGGCTGGGCTGTGCTGCGAGCTTCGATTGCGAATCTGATGGTGGTGCGGCTGGTGACGGTCCAGTGCAGTGAGGAGTCTATTTTTGAGGCGCCTCAAAAATAGACTCCTCACGCATGGGGAACAAGGGACAAAAAAGTTGGCTGGCTGTGCTGCGAGCTTCGATTGTGAATCTGATGGTGGTGCGGCTGGTGACGGTCCAGTGCAGGAGGATGCTGAGGGTGGAGTGTGGGGGGAAGGGGGGCGGCAGGGAGAGGGAGAAAGGAAATAGAGGGCCAACCGAGGAAATAGAGGGCCAACCGAGGAAATAGAGGGGCCAACCGAGGAAATAGAGGGCCAACCGAGGGAATAGAGGGCCAACCGAGGAAATAGAGGGCCAACCGAGAAAATAGAGGGCCAACCAAGGAAATAGAGGGCCAACCGAGGAAATAGAGGGCCAACCGAGGAAATAGAGGGCCAACCGAGGAAATAGAGGGCCAACCGAGGAAATAGGGGCCAACCGAGGAAATAGAGGGCCAACCGAGGAAATAGAAGGGCAACCGAGGAAATAGAGGGCCAACCGAGGAAATAGAGGGCCAACCGAGGAAATAGAGGGCCAACCGAGGAAATAGAGGGCCCCATCACCACTCACAGCCCCATCACCACTCACAGCCCCATCACCACTCACAGCCCCATCACCACTCACAGCCCCATCACCACTCACAGCCCCATCACCACTCACAGCGGTCCGTTGAGCTCCACTTGATAGGCGAACCTGGCAAGAGATGACGCCGGGCACGCCGCACCAACAGGTGGAAACGACGCGGGCGGCGGAGGGGAGGGGGTGGGGGTGGTCGAAGGTGGGGGTGGGAGGCGGAAACTGGAGGCGGGGGGGGGTGGAAACCCGGGGGGCGGGGGAGAGGGCGTGGGGGGAGGGGGCGGGGGTGGGGGGGATGGAGGGGGGGGGGGGGGGGGGGGGGGGGGGGGGGGGGGGGGGGGGCGGGGAAGGGGTGGCAGTGGCGTCGCAGGAGTAGTCGATGGTGACGGTGCCGCGGTGGCCAGCGTGGCCGTCTAGGGCGGTGGAAGGGCCGTCGGAGTAGGCCCAGATGGTCTTCATGGGGCCGCTCACGAATGATATCTTGTCGCCCGTGCCCACCGTCCGGGAGAAGCTGCAGTGAACGAGGGATGGGGGGAAGGAAGGGGGAGAAAGTGGGGGAAGGGAGGGGGAGAAAGTGGGGGGAAGGGAGGGGAGAAAGTGGGGGAAGGGAGGGGGAGAAAGTGGGGGAAGGGAGGGGGAGAAAGTGGGGGGAAGGGAGACAACGTAAGTGGCAACGGTTAAGAGAGAACGCAGAAGGGTACGAGCAACATGAGCGACCATGAGTGACTCTCTCAAACGCAGCCGCGGCCGACGCTTTTCGAGGCGCCTTGAGATGCGGCGAGCGACAGGAGCTGGGGGGAGAGAGAACGTACGGTGCGGAAAGGGGACATGTACCGTACACAGAGGAACGTACGTGGCGACGCCGCCGGATAACGCGGGCGACGAGCCGAGCGAGAAGGACGCAAAGGGGATGATGCTCGTTGGCGAGTAGTCCCCTATGGTGTACGCGTTAATAGCCCCGTAGAGCTCGCTATTCGCGATGACGCAGTCGGACGGGTACATCTTGCCGGCCGACGACCAGCCGACGCCGAACCACCCGCCCGAAACGGCGGCTGACGTGGCTTGCAGCGCCATATTTACGGTCGTCCCTGACGTGGCCTTCCAGTGGAGAACCAGGCTGGCATCGGGGGAAGGGGGGAAAGAGGGAGGGGGGGGGGAGAGGGGGGGAGGAAAGGGGGGAGGGGAAGGGAAGGGGAAGGCGGGGGAAGGTGGGGGGATGTTGGGAAAGGCCCGGGAAGGACACAGCCAAGTGCGGGAAAATCAAGAGTAACTAAAATTCGCGCCATAGGAATGTGGACGCGAAAAATGTAGGGCGAAATGCCGGATGCGGGGGAAGGGACTGGAATGCGAGACAGGCGAAATATACTCGATTGAATCAGGCTTCGTAACATGTAAAAGTGCAAGTTTCTAATGTGAATGTTAGCGTGAAACGTCGCCAAAACTCTAGGACTAAATTTTTGTGCCTAAATAATACACTTACCGGAGCCTATCGTAGAAGTGTGCTCTTATCGCGTCCGGCTTGTTTCGAGCCGAGAGCACGGGCGCAGCTATTTCGCTGCCCATAACTCCGAATCGTCAATTTGTCTACTGTACTCCAGATCGTCAATCTCACTAATGGAGGTACTGCCGGACCAGCTCCGAGGCACCAATCACCTTGGGCACGCCAGCCAAACCTCAACCCGAACTCAGAACCAAACCCAAACCATTCTGAGGGCGTGTCCAGCGCGTAAGTTTACAGGAACACGGATCACGGTTCATATATCGCGATCAGGAGCGGTTTTCAAACTTCACCGCGTTGAAACTCTAAAAACCATATTGGACCGTATAAAGTGAATTGTAAACGTACGCGCTGAACACGCCCTCAACCAACCCCATTTGCTTGTGTAATTTGCACGTTGCAGATTGTTTCACGAATTGGACGCCTACCCCGGCGTGAGCGTTTTCGATGACGTGAAGCCGCTCAGACTCGACTCGCTGCACGCCGCCGCAACTCCCGTTCGCCGATTCCAAGGCTTTCCCGTACGCGGCGCCGCCGCTGGCGGCGGCTTCTGCGGTGTATGCGTGCCGGCGAAGAAAGGCTTTCCGCCCATGGATCCGAAGGAAATGGGAAAGGGGAAGAACGAAGCGGGCGGCGGCGTGGGAGGGGCGGACGCGGCGGCGGCGGCGGCGGAGGAGTGTGAGACTGTGACGAGCAGCGCGAGCTGAACCGCGAGGAAATGACGGGCCATGGTGGAAGGCGCCGCGCGGCGGAGCGGGAAGAACCTCCTGCGCAGCGAAGACTGCGCTACAGACTCCCGTCGGACAGGAGAGGACGGGACGGGAGTCACGGCACGGGACACAAATTACGGCAACAAGCACAAGGCAGCAAACGGCGCTCCACTCGAAACAACAGCGGTTGCTACCAGCACGAGTGTCGAGCCGAAGAGAGAACGCGATGTTTATGAACCGTTTTCCAGCGTTGATTATGTTCGGCCGCGTTGAAGTTCAAGCTGCCTCGCTTTAAAGGTACAGTAAACATAAGTGAACTTCAGATGGGGATTCGGTTGACAATACTGTAGAATGTCAACGGCAAGTGTTCTGCGCCGGCGTTTTCGACCTTTGCTCCCGGGGCTCGTTTTTACGGTGTGTTCCCTCTTACCGCCCATTCAAAGTAGCCGATGTCGGCCCTCTTTCCCAGGCAAAGAATCCCGCCGTCAGATATCAATTCTACGTCGGTTACTTTGAACACGCTCCTGGTTTCGGGGGTATTACATTTCTGGACTCGAACTGGGGCCGGGACAGCTGAGGGAGGAAAACGCCAAACAGCATAAGGCGCTGTGGTACACTAGAGGTCTGAAAGAGGCCCAAGTTTTTTTTGGCCGGTTACTCCAGTAACGGACGCCTTCAAATCGCTGGCAAATTGGGCCTCAAGGTAGGACCATGGTTACCCGTTTGGCAGGACCCTTGGAACACGGAAGACATTCGTTGTTTCTCCCGTGTACCCCAGTAACTGTCGCACAATCGCACCCTGGTTCCGAGTCAACCTACAATTGTTCCTTCTGCATGTTCGCTCCTAGCAGTGTCGCAAGTGGTTGAGCCGTCCAAAATTGGGCCAGTCCAGGACGGGTCATTGCCTGTAAATCCGTGCCAGTCGGACTGACGAGTGCATGGGGGCCTCTGACGAATGGGCGGTTCATTGGACGTCATATGTATTGCATGGGGGTGCGCTGCTGCTGTGATGGTACAAATGATATCCACCATACGCCCATGACTTCACAGTTTCGCATGTTTCGCCACGGGCAAATGGGTCGCAAATTAGCATTTTGTACACCTTTTTCTATTTATGGTCCCACCTCGAACAGTCCAAATTGCAATCTCACCTTCCAGTTTCTCAGCATGACTCGCATTGACACTGAACCTGATTGGCTGCAGTCTGAATGATAACGAACTACCAAGTTGTATTTCGACAATTGCGAGATTCAGAGCTTCAAGGTTGCGCAGGCAACCAATCTAGTGCATGAGCGAGATTTTGTAACCAAGTGTCATTGCTTACTGTGGGATTTTCCCTTCAAAGTCCCGTTTGCCCATGTTTTACAATTTCCTGCTTACAGGCTCAAGCCGCGTGAAAAAAAAGTAGGACTAAATAGAAGAACAGGTGTAGCAAGATATTTCAGAAGTCAGAATTCTGGCTGGCTGAGGCTTGCCTCGACGAGGCGCTACGGGCCAAATTAGGAGGCATGGTTTGAGGAGGAGAGGGGCATAAGAAATGCGGACGACCAATAATAAGCCTGGAAGTCCAGCACCAAACCTGCGCAACAGAGGCGATTGTGCGTGAGTGATTGGCTGTTGGGGGCTTTGGCGGCGATGCCCCACTCACGAGGCATTCACAAGCGATCACGAAGCGACTCGAGGGTTTTGGGGAAAATTGCTGCCGCGGACTGTCCACGAAACTTTTCATACTTTCGTGGACAGGCCCTACTTCATGGACAGGACACCACATCGAACTTTCACATCTCCCGTGGACTCCGTCAATACTTTCGTGGACTCCAGGCTTACTTCCATGGACACACGCGAGTTTGAAACAAAAAAAACAAACAGAACTGTACAGATGCTGACAGGAGAAAAAAAGCAAAATTAGGCGTAATCAAGTCCCTCGCAAATAATCGCAAGCTACAGTATTTTCAAGCCACCAAGTCCGCTAGCTGTTTCGCGTGTTTAAAGAAACTCTGAAGCGATCCTCAAAATTCATTTGAATGACTGTCACGAAGCGCTTTTAGTTGAACGATAAGTGTAGCAGACCGACCTGGTGAAATATCGCTACAAAAAAAATCACGTTGTAGAATAAAGATAGATATTACGCTTACAAGATTAATAGAGCTCATTAAAAATCTCTGCCTACCAAGAATCAGGAATACCATGAATTCTGGCATTTACAAATATTTCAACTAGTACTTGGCTTGCATTTTCAACTAAGATGTGAAATCTCAGAATACCAATAACGTTTGGTGAACATGATTATATAAATGGAAGGTTTCACGTCTTGATTGTATTATTATTAAAATTTCGGTACATAGTAAAAATAATAGATGAGAAAATGATACAACTATTTTAGATTCACGTTTTTAGGAATATGTTTTTTATGTTTGAACGAGAAAAATACTAATGCAAATAAAAACAAGTGATTCTAAAAAATATATTTCTTAGGTGTTTTTTTTCACAGAATTAATAATAATGAAATTATTTATTATGAAGGAGAAAACAACTGCTGGTTGATGCTGGCTCGTCAAGCACGTGCATATTATGTTTTGTTGGGTAGCTCTGAGTTGAATAATAAGTGTTTTACCACGCGGACCCTAATACACCCTGTTTTTGAAAATTCACTGCATATTTGAGTGCGGCTGCAAACTCTTCCCAGAAAAGCTCCGAGATTCTGTTTCAGAACTGGTTTCCGACACTGTAGCTCGCGATTACTTGCGACGGACAGATATTCTGGAGTGTCTCGATTTTTGTGCCCGTAATCACTTGTACATTGCTGAATACTCCTTTTTAACTGCGAATATGGGTGTGTCCATGGAAGTAAGCCGGGAGTCCACGAAAGTATTGACGGGAGTCCACAGGAGAAGCAAAAACTTCGATGTGGTGTCCATGAAAGTAGGGCCTGTCCACGAAAGTATGAAAAGTTTCGTGGACAGTCCGCGGCAGAAAGTTTCCCAGGGTTTTGGGTGGAGGCAGGGGGGATCAGCTACGGAATTTGCAGCCCCCATTTGTAGCAGCCTCAACACTGCCCATACCGTGGTGCCTCATACAATTCAAAACTTGTCCAATTTTACCTGTGGTAAATAAATTATGGAACCTTGTACACCTTGCCACCAAGGCTGCACTCATTGGCTCCTTGGTTTCCCCTAGCTCTCTACTGCGGCTGATAAAAACCCAACCCATGTACATGCAAACCCAAACACTCAATTCGTTGCAGCCTTCCAACACAGTTACACCCGCGCCAAACCACGCTGGGTTAAGACATCGATGAAATATTTCTCAAAACATACCCCACCAGCCATCCTATCACGGGCCACGTTGATCACCCTCCAAAAATGGCCTTCCAAAAGGCCGACTTACGGGCCCACCAGCCAGCATTTGTCAAACCATTCCCGGAAGCAGCAACAGCAGCATTGTGGTGTTGCTGGCCCAAAGGCTTCTGCCTTTGCAAGCTGTTTTGGTGGCTGCTGGTGCTCAAAGCCGCACCAGCCGATGGGTCCTCGACGCTTGCGGCGCGGAAGCTGCTGTCGTAGTCGGAGTCGTCTGAGTAGTCGGGCCCGCCGCCCACAGGGAAGAAGGCTTCCTGAAGCACGAGAAGTCCACAGCAAGACCGCCCCTGGGCGGGAGGAGAAAATGGAAGACGGGGGGAGGAGGGGGGAAGGGAGAGGAGAGGGGGAGTCAAAGGCTGGCTAAGAGTAGTATGAGTAGTCGGGCCCGCCGCCCCACAGGGAGTAGGGCTTCCTGAAGCACGAGAATTCCACGGCAAGGCCGCCCCTGGGTGGGAGGAGAAAAAGGAAGGAACCGAGGAGCCTGCTGGTTACCAGAGTAACAAGAGCGCCTGCTGGTTACCAGGGTAGCAAGGTCCTTACTGGTTCCAGGCATGGAAGGCGAGGGTCTTGGAGGAGGCCGTGCTGCTGAAGGCAGGAGCTGAGCAGCAGCTACTCACACCACCTCTCACAGCAGTTACCGCGGTTACCAGGGTAACAATGGTAACAACACGGGGCGGGCTTACTGGTTCCAGGCATGGAAGGCGAGGGTCTTGGAGGCTGCTGCTGAAGGCGAATATGAGGTAGTTGGTGGCGTTCAGGACGATGGGCACCGCGCCCGTGCCTACTTCCCGTGTGAACCTGAGAATGGGGAGAGGGGTTGAGAGGGGTTGGGAGGGGTTGAGAGAGGTTGAGGTGGGGCAGAGTGCAGAAGGACGGTTGAAGGGGTCAGACAGAAGAGCAGTTCTGAAGGCGAAGATGAGGTAGTTGGTGGGGTTGAGCTTGATGGGCACCGCGCCCGTCCCCACCTCCCCTGTGAACCTGAGAAGTGGGAGAGGGTGATTTGGGGAGAGGGTGATTTGGGGAGAGGGTGGTTTGGGGAGAGGGTGATTTGGGGAGAGGGTCAGGGAGGCAGAGGGGGGAGCAGAGCAGCACAGATGGCCTAGATGAGGCATTCTGCTCTGGTGGTGGCGTTCAGCTTGATGGGCATGGGCACCGCACCCGTCCCTTCCAACCTCCCTTGTGACTCTGACATGGGAGAGAGGAGGGAGTCACAAGGGAGGCGGTTAGGACAAGGCAGGCGGGAGAGAAGAGCACTCAAGGCCCAGATGAGATAGTGGGAAGGGACGGTTGAAGGGACATTTGAAAGAGCAGGGGGGGTAGAGATACTGTACAGCGTCAGCAATTTTAACAATGCTTAAGTAGCACTGTTAACATCTTTTTTGTAAATTACAGGGGATAACTTCTGATTGGGCTCAAAAGAAAAAGAATATTTGACAGGAGTAGGCTCAGACTTACGTGATCATGGTGCCGCCTTCGGTGGTGGCAGCAACTTCAGCAGTCCCTATAGAGAACGCACTCGTTTGCTTCACAAGCTTCTTGGAATACCCGCTCATATGCACCGCCGCCACCCCTGGCAGGTTCCCGATGACTGCATCTGAGCCCTTCATCTTGCCCTTTCTGCCTGACCATCCAACAGCCATCCAGCCGTCCTTGGATAGAGTGCTGGCGCGCGCCTCCATTGCGAACTTGATGGATGTGCTGCTGGCGAAGGTCCAGTGCAGGAGCATGCTGAGGGGGAAGAGAGGGAAGGGGGAGGGAGGGGAGGAGGAGGGGGAGGGAGGGCGAGGGAGGGGGAGGGAGGGGGGAAAAGGGACAGAAGGGTTGGCTAGAGTGGTGGCCCGGGCTTCTATTGCG